CAAATTCAACTTTGCTCAGCATGGTGGGGCAGAGGCAGGACCACTGCGAAAGTGAGTCCAGCCGGGACTACAGAGAGACACTGTCACAAACCCAACCCAACGCAACCCAATCCAGATTCCCACTAAACTGTTATTAGACCTTGAATTTCTTTGTATGATCTTTACTGAGTAGAGACTTCCCTGTCCCATTTTTCAGTATTTCAAAAACTGACCTACCTGTCCTTCGTGGTTTGAGATAGTCCTGTGAGGGCAGGCTAGCCAGAAACTTGTTTTAAAGATTATGACTGTGTGTATACAGGTGTGAGTGTGCTTGCTTATGCCATTGTGCACACACAGAGGTCAGAAGACAACTTTTAGGAGATTTTTTTTTTCCAGGACAGGGTTTCACTGTGTAGCTTTGGCTGTCCTGCACTCACTTTGTAGACCAGGCTGGCCTGGAACTCACAAGAGATCCTCCTGCCTCTGCCTCCTGAGTGCTGGGATCACAGATGTTGCTGTGCCTGGTGAGTTGATTCCCTTCTGCTGAATCTGGGGCTGAACTCAGGTGTCAGGCTTGCATGCTAGACAGTTTTACCTGCCAAGAGTGGCGCTGAACTTCTGCTCCTCCTCCCTCCAGGTGTGTGTGGTTTATGCCAGTCCTGGAGGCTGAACTCCAGGCCTTCGGTTTGTGGGTGTGGGACCAGCTGAGCCAAATTCCCTGGTTTGGACTTGCGACTGTTCCGAGTCCGTGTCTTGTGCTGGGATCACAACATGGGGCAGCACATCCAGCCCCCACCTACTGTCTTTTTTTTTTTTTCGGTTGGGGTGGAGTCTGAGGGTTGGATTCACACGTGCTCTACGGCGGAACCTTCATTTCCTGCGCATTCTCTCACATGTGGTTGCTGTGGTCACACTGATTTGCCTCGACTGAGGTTTTTTTTTTAATTGAGACGAGGTCTCATTTATCCCACGCTATGTAGTCAAGGATGCCCTGTAATCTCTGATGTTGTGCATCTACCTCCTGGGTGCTGGGATTCTAGGCATGCATGGTCTCATGAGATGCTGCTGGTCCAGCCCAGGCAGGGGCTCTGCACGTTCAGCACTCTTGCTGACTGAAGTGATGTTGCCCCCAGATTCCCACTGATCTTTTTCTTTCCTTTTTGAGATTCTATATTTGCACTATTTTTACCTTCCCTTTCCTCCCTCCAAACACTCCCATGTAACCCACCTTGCTCCTTTTCAAGTCCACGGACTCTCTTTTCATTGTTGCATGCATACATGATTATACATGTGTTCCTAAACTTAATCTGTTCCGTCTGCATACTGTTCCTTGAGTGCACGCTTTCATGCCGAGAATCTGGGATTGGACCACCACCTGGGGTGCTCTTCCCTGGGGAGGACTATTTCTCTGGCTCTCAGCATCCCTCAGGTGCCTGGAGTTCTCTGCACAGCTGAATGCTTGTGGGCCTTCCCAGTCCACTCTGGCATGCTATGGAAACCGTGTGTGTATATGGCTCTGTGCACACCCATGGAGGGCAGAGAAGGTGTTGGGCGGCTGGCTCCCTTTGTTGCCCTCTTTGCCTACCCCTTTATGGTGGGGTCTCTATCCAGGGCACGTGGGTGTGTTTGGGGTGGGCTGGAAGCCTGCAACATGCAGTGATCTACCCTGGATTCTTTGGAGCTGGGAGGTTTGGCTTGTCCTGTGGGTGCTGGCAGGGATGTGGACCTCAGAGGGTCCTCATGATTACACAGCAAGAATTCTGAGCTACGGAGCTCTCTCTCTAGCCCTGGGGAAATGAAGAAGTGTGTGGGTGGAGCACAGTCAGGACAACTTTTAGGAGCTGGTGTCCTCTTCACCTTTCCAAGGTCCCGACGTGTGCTCAGCGTGTCACTTACCCACTTAGCCAGCTCACCGACCTCTTAGGGAATGTCTTTTTTGAGGCAGGGTGTCTCTGTGTAGCCCTGGCTGTCCTGGACTTGCTTTGTAGACCAGGCTGGCCTTGAACTCACAGCAATGGAAATTCGTAAACTCCCTAGTCCTCAGCTTCTGAGTCCTTATATGTGTATAACTGACATGCTTGTACTTACCACTTTGTTTTCCAAAGTACATAAGCTGCTCTTCAGACCTGTTTCCCTGTGTGGTAAAGGGAAAAGCCTGACAGTCCAGGGTGGTGCTGCTCACCCGTTGGCTACCTGCCTGCCACTGACTGCGCTGCCTGCCCTCGGGGTGTTCTCTGGCGCCTCGCTTTTTTCTGCCTTCTCTGTGGAGTTGGTGTACTGGCACACCTGAAGCAGCTGTTTGGGCCCAGTGTGTCCTTGTGGGAATGGGATGGGATCCAAGACACATCTCAGGGTGGAGACACTCTCTCTCCACAGTACCTGCTGCTGAGGTTTATCTTGCTAGCTAAGCCTCCTTTGAGAACTCAGTTCCCGTGATCCGTTTGGGTGACTCCAGTGTGGTTTCTGGCCACTTGTGTTAGAAACACACACTTCCAGTCTGGTTTGGAGATCTCTGTCCAGCAGGCAGCTACCCCTGCATCACGGGATAACAGCGGGTTCCTTTTTTCTTCTTCCTGGCAGGCGTGTTATGAATCATCAGGTCTCCTGTCTGAGCAGGATGGGGATGATATTCTTTGTTAGAAAACTGTGTGTGATACGACTCAGTAGATGAAATTGCTTGCTGCCACTTAGCCTGATGGTGAGATGGTGTGAAGAGGAAGGAGAGAGCCAGCTGCAAATTGTTTTTATGACACTAAACTGTAACCCAGGGCTGTTTTACCCTTCCTTTCTTGGCTGGAACCAACCCCAGGGCCTTGTGCGTAAGTTAGTGCTCTGTCACTGAGCTATGTCACAGCTTCATCTCTCAAGTCCTCAACTCTGATCTCACCTAAGGGCTAACATGCTTCCAGACAATGAGCAGCATCTAAGAAGCCTCTTGTGAACTACACTCTACTTCATGATACTGTTACACAACGAAAAGGTCAGAGGGTGTGGGACCCTTGGGCCTGGAGTGAACTACTGTGAGGGTGCTGGAAAACAAACTGAGCATCTCTCCAGTTTTATCTTTTCCAACTGAACTACGGCCTGGGTGCTTCACCATCACTAGGTTTCTATGGTGCTACACCTAAGCCTGTCACTTTACCCTTCTGCCTTCCGGCCACAGGTCCAGTGTGCCCTTTACTGACTCTCATACTTACTAGATTATATTTCTCTGCACCTTGTTCTCAACTTGCAACGTGTCCTTGATTGGAACCTTATAGTCGAGACCTCCTGGTTCTGCTCACCAGTCATCCCGAGTACTTGGACGGGGGGGGGGGGGGGGGGGGGGGGCGGGGTGGGCGGCTGTCCTTGAACTTCTGAACCTCGAGCCTCTGCTGGGATTAGCAGGTGCTCATTTCCTGTGGTGTCCAGGATGGCACTCAGGCAAGCCACCAATGTGCGACACCCTTACCCAAACTTGAGTTCTTTGGCCTTCTCTGTGCCTTCTCTTCACATGCACGAAGTCCCCGGAAGGAACGTCCCGGACCTTTCCCTCAGGCGGGCTGCTTTTTATACTAGTGCCCGAAATCTTACCTTCATACTTCACATTTCCCTAGAGAACACCAAACTGTTTTGACAGAAACGCTGAGGTTTTTATATCTTATTACTTGATGCATGCTGAGTTGGCGTTATTCTACACAGCTCATCTATGTATTTATATGTACCTTCAAGTATTCCATGTGACTAAGGAAAGTCAACTCCGATGCAAGAAAATGCACCTTAGCTCCTAAAATCCTCACTCCATGGAAGTAGGTGCGCTGTCGGCAGCAACTTATGGACAAAGCCAACTGAGACACGGCTTAAGTGATTTGGCTCAGACCGTACAGCTGCTAAGTGCAGCGGCCAGGCCAAGGTCCAGGTGTGACTGGGACAGCAGAGGCTGCCTCGTGGGTGGCAAGAGAAGGGCCGATTCCTCCCAGTGACCTTGCTGGGTCAGCAGGTCAGGGTGGGAAGGAAAGAATGCAGACCCACCCCAGTACCAAGCCGTGGCCTCTTCACAGATGCAAACAGCACCCTAGGACCAGCCCATACAATCTCCGCACACCGGTGACCCCTCCGCTGCGGGAGAGCGTCCTTCCTCTGCTGTGCCGGAAAGAACGGTCCGGTCGGTGGACTGCAGGCTCCGTTTTCAACTTTCTGTCTCTATGCGACCTGACCCATCCACCTAACGATGGCCACGTTGAGTTCCGTTCCACACTGCGTCAGAGCTGGTCTGCGCACGCTGGCCGTGCTGCAGCGGACCCGGTTAGGCCGGGGCCCGGCGTGCTAATTCAGGGAGTCTTCTGGAAGCCCTCCAGCGTGACGAGGGGCACAAGCGGCGCCGCCGACCCGTCACCGCACAGATCATCTCTAACGCTCCGCGGCACGCGAGGGGACCGGCCCCGCCGCTCCGGGCCCGGCCCCTGCCCCGCCTCGGCCCCGCCCCGCCTCGGCCCCGCC